TCTTTTAAAATGCATTTTGTTCAGCTCGTATGCCAACTTCCTTTATTTTCATAGAAAAAATTAGCAAAATGCAGCAATACTGGAAGGCTACTTTTTTTTACACTAGCTTTTTAACAAAACAATGTCAGGTACTTCTGGAGCTTTTGGTAATTTCACACTACCTTCATCAGCAGATGGAGTTTGCCGGCAACTGATATCAACATACAGGCAATATGGAAAAATAATTTTTGCAGAAATGATATTGTATGATCAAAAGCTCTTAAACAGTTTCTAAATGGACCTGCGGTTTTACAAATAATGACTGTTGGTTTAACAGAAAGAACACTGAATATTTCTTAAAGAAACATGTATTCAGTTTAGAGTTACAATTCATGTATCTTGCATAAATTGACTGGAAATAACATAAATCCCAAATGCCTGAATAGTGTTTGTTCATTTAATCCACAAAGTGAGCACCAGTCGTTTATGCAAACATTGCACTGTACTGCAAAAAGATGATTTTACTGAGTCGTCATGATTGTGTCAATCATATTCTGCATATCTTTGTGACAGCTCTTGTTAATTTGACTGTTTTTCCACAGGTGAAATTGAATTAAACCAAAGCGTATCTGTCCCTTCTCTATTTTGGTTCTGACCAAGTGGGTATTGTTCTACAAATGGATAATGGAGACTGGGGCCATAGGGTAAGAGATGGATAGAAATCAGACTAGAATAAGAGGTCTATTTTTTAACAGAAAGAAAAGTTAAAATCACTTTGTTGACAGAGTAGTTTTACATCTAGCATCTAACAATGCAACCACATAACTTCCCTGCAGTAAGGTTGAAATGTTGGGATTGTATCTAAACAGATGTAGTGAGGTGTTGATTTAACCTTTTTGATCATTTTAGAATCTGTGGTGCTGTTGAATTGTGTTGCATTGTGTTTTTCCAATATTTAATCCCAGAGATATGTTAGAAACACTTCTCACTATAATGCAAAACATTTTTACACACAGTACGACAAACTACATGATTTATTGCAGGGGCGTTGTATTGAACTCCATTTATTTTAGCTAGTTTGGCAGCTGAAATTCACACAGTTCATGTAATTGAACTATTGTACTACTGTATATAGTAATGCAAATTTAAAGATAATTTAATTTTTTTAATTCTTATCCTTATCTTGTTCCTCTTTTGTTTTAGATGAGTTCTCCTGTTACCTTGAACGTGGGAGGTCACATGTACACCACCAGTTTATCTACCCTGCAGCGCTATCCAGACTCCATGCTGGGTGCAATGTTCCGGGGAGATTTCCCCACTACTCGCGATTCCAAAGGGAATTATTTCATTGATCGTGATGGGACACTTTTTCGGTACATCCTGAACTTTCTGCGGACGTCTGAGCTTACCCTTCCTGCCGACTTCACAGAGACAGACCTACTAAGGAAAGAGGCGGACTTCTACCAGATCGAACCGTTGATCCATTGCCTTCATGACCCCAAGCCTCTGTACCCTCCCGACATCTATGAACAGGTCGTGGAGCTCTCAAGCACTCGGAAACTTTCAAAATATTCCAATCCAGTCGCTGTTATCATCACACAGCTAACCATAACCACAAAAGTTCACGGCCTGCTGGAAGGTATTTCCAACAACTTCACAAAGTGGAGCAAACACATGATGGACACCAGAGACTGCCAGGTGTCGTTCACCTTCGGACCATGTGACTATCACCAAGAGATTTCACTAAGGGTTCACCTCATGGACTACATCATGAAACAAGGATTCAGCATCCGCAACACCCGTGTGCATCATATGAGTGAGCGTGCAAACGAGAACACGGTGGAGCATCACTGGACTTTCTGTAGACCAGCTCGCAAAGTTGAAGACTGAGTTAAAGCACAGTTGTTGTGCGTGACACTGCTGTTTGATTTGTCTTTATATTACCCATGTCCTGTTTAAACAACAACATATTTTGAAATCTGTTTCAAATGTCTGCTAGTAATCATTTATTTTTCTTTTGACCAAGGTGGTACAGTGGGACAAGGCTCAAAGTCCAGGCAGATGGCATAACAACTGTGGAAAATAGGAATTCTCTATTTATTCACCTCCAATTGCAAGAAGACTTTCTTAGTTGTACTACCACTACTTAAAAAATGTCCTAATTGATGACTATGAGTGTAAATATTTTTGTTTGAAGCAGAAAGACCCCATATACAAGAGCAATGATTTGTATTTCATTGTATTTATAAAAGGACACAAGAATACCCCAGATATGCTCAAATGTGGAAATCTTGCTTTTTCAAGGAATAGTTTTGATCAAATGTGGCAAAATGTTATTCCGAATTCAAGAATAATGTGATTATTAACAGGTAGTCATGCTTTAAGACTGCCTACACATAATGGTATAAAATCTACATCTTAACATCAATGTGACTTATGATCCCAATTTTAAGGGGAAGGGGGATATTGTAAAATGATTGTTCCTCGTACATAAGCTGTCTTGGTCATGTTTTGGACTGCAGACACTAAACAAATAACTGTTTTGAATCCTGAGTTGTCAGGAGTGAACCTTTTTTTCATAATAAATTATGATTATCTTTAGCCCAATTTACAGTAGATCTTAAATAAGTTTCTTATCTCCTTGTATGATACTATAATTGAAGACCTCTCGTCATTGTTGCATGTGTCTGAGGGTCTTGTGTTTGTATATGTAGTTGTGGGCTTTGCAGTATTATGCCATACTGTTACAGTTTAGAGCCCATATCAACAGTGATGTGTTTGATCATTCCAGCCAAAATAAAACATGTATTTGTCAGTTATTTGCATTGCTTTATCCAATTACACTGATATTTGCACTATGCTTTAATTATTTATATGTGTTCATGATACTACAATGTATAACATGTTTAAGACACAAAAAAGGAAAACATTATGAAGATGTCCATGGTGTCAGGACTCAACTGACAGATAATCCCAGGTTATTGTTAGTTTGGTAGCTACTTTTGGCAGCAACCAAAAGTATGAAGGTACCTTCAATATTGAATTAACATTTCATAACCACTCATCTAAGGTCTGCCTTTTATTGACCAAAAGCTTTGACATAATACTGATACACTAGTCTCCTCTACTACATATCATGTAATTGCAATTATTTCTTTATGGCAATTTCACGACAACTAATGACTTTTAAAAATAATAAATTGAGCCAAATGTCTAAAAAAAAAACGATAATATTTTTGTGTTTATAATCGTATTTAAAAAGCTTTTCTCACTCTGAAATGCAATTATTTATCAAATGTCTGCACAGGATAGACATTTGTAAAAACGATTATATTTTTGCGACCTTTAACCCATCTTTCATATGAGGAGAAAACCTGCCCTTCTCAGCGGTTTAACCGTCGGATAAAACTGTATTTATAGTTCTTTGCATTCATTTTGAAGTTACAGCGTAGCGCTTGACACCTACAATCAACCGGATGTGACGATATTTCTGGGTGCGTTCGTTTTATGCTCCAACATCGAGCTACCGTAGAGTCCTATATACATTCTAGAAAGTTCTGTTATTTTTCTTTACTGCAGGTAACAAAACGAGCGCACCCCATTACTCACGTCCGTTGATCTTGTAACAAGCGTAAAGGACATGTTGAGGTTCGCGCTTGCTCTATTACTTTGAAACACCATAGTCCCTCCAGTCCCCCCTGCATTATAAACAGTTTTATCTTGACATTACCTGTTTTGGGTAACATATCTGTTAGCCAGAATGAAGAGTAACAACATACAATATTTACTGAGCCTTGTCCCAGGGAAACAAAGTCTAGGGACGTACAGGTTTCTCCCCATCTTCTTCTGCATCGGAGGTGCCATGGAGTGGATCATGATCAACGTGAGGATAGGAAAAGAGACTTTCTGTGAGTGTCAATCTAGTTCGTTTCTAACATTTAAACTTCGTGTTTAAGCTAGCTGACGTTAGCATGACAGTGACATCTGTTTGCTCATTGCGTTGGTATGTGAGTTATATGATGAGTTTTAAAGGCTTTTAAATGTAAATAAAGACAAATAAGAGCATTAGCCTACATATAACGTGACGTACAGATTGCCATGTTGCACGTTTCATTAACTTGCAGTCTGTTTACAGTTGCCTAGGACTGTGCTTGTCTGAATATGTGGCACAAAGCAGCCTTGTTGACATTTCATGTCCTCAAACTTTCCTCTCCTCCCCACTCTCATTAGGAAATATTGAAAAATGGAGAGAAAGGTGGAAAAAGTATTTATAAATACACACAGCACAGTCAGTGGGTCTGACTATGGCAGTGCATGTAGCCTACAGCTGCTTACAGAAAAAATTAAATCCACAATATAGCTTTACATTCTCTCAGTGTTGATAATTAAATATATGACAACATAAATCCTAATTGATATTGTTATAAAAGTACCCCTCAATTCAAAATGTTACAGAAGTGTATGTACCCAACGAACTGAATGCACTTAAAGCAATACATAGTATTTGTTAAAATTAAATGTGGTCCCTTTCAATATGATTTATTGTTATAAATATGTATTATAACTTTTTATATTTAATAATTATGTGTCCAGCGCTTCATATCACATATTGATATTTCTGTAGCAACCCACGTAGAGAGTTAAATGCTACTGGATCCCTCAAAAATATTTAAAAAGGAAAATAAACCTTATGTGTACTCTCATTGAACTCGCATTCATTTATTCCAGATGTGCTCAACTGTGCCAATTCAGCAGAACTAAAAGGATTCAAAATGATTTAGTGTTTAAAAAAGGAAAAAGAGGTGGGGAGAAAAGCTACCCTGCATATTTTATCCTGTAGTTTTCCAAGGTCATTTAGGGATACAGAAAAGTGTTTTCCTCTACAGAGAACAGACTTTCATCTGTTATTTTCATTCCTTGAATCCATAGCCTTTTCTGGAGTTGCAAACTTTTTTTATTTTGCAGAATAACTAGCTTTTTTCATAGAAGAACATTTAACTCGACAATCAAGAAAAAGCATGTGGAATGTCTCATTGTACTTTCTTTATTCTGTTTTCTTTCCAGATGATGTCTACCGAAGAAAACAATCGGAACGGGACTACGAGAAGAAGATAGCTGATGGTTTAATAGTTCTTAATGAGCCTACACCCAAGTGATCAATGGCCAGACTAAATGTGGACTTGCTGTGTCACCTAAGGACACATTCTTGGACTCTCGCTCCCTACTGTTTCCAACAGGCTGGAATAGACTTCATAGCATGTAACAACAACCATGTGAACGTTATGAGTGAAAGGCTTATGCAGAAACATGCACGTTTATTGCTATTATCTTCAGATTAAGAAAACATTTGCAGTAATAATAATAATGGTAGCTCAAATGAAAGAATGAAATAATCTCCAGAATGGCCTATAGGATACTGAAGTTACATTCTTAAAACATTGCATAGCACCTGCTCAAACAAAACAGCCAAGCCAAATTGTACTTAACAAATAAAGAAATGATCTTCTGTATTTAAAGACATCTTGGATTATTTTGCACACATGTTAGATAATGGTTGATAACATCCCAAAACACAAGCTCTTTTATACCCTTGTTTAAATCCTGACGTTCTGTAACATTGCGTTTATATGGACTTGCACTGTAAGCATTGTGAGTATATAAAATTGAAACACATTTTGCAAACAATATTTTTTGTATCTTTATATCTGCATGTTTTATTTGACGCAGATCTTCCTCAGAAGGGCTTACCACCGTCAAAAGCATGTTTTGGTCATTTCAGTGGTACCATCCGATAGGGAGGGCCTGCAGGCAGATGAAGCTATCGGGGTACTCAGACAGCACCACAGGGTTCCCGTCCAGCCTCACCTCATCCATGTTGGTTCGGATGTAATAACTGGAGTTCCCTCTGCAGAACGTCTCATCTGTTACTGTTGAGATATTGTTGTTCTGCAGAACAGACACAGGACACCACAATATTGGCCCAGCAAGTAGCTACTACTGTCGGCAATACAAACACAAATAAGTTAATTTCTTTCTACAGTAGTTTTCTGTGATTTCATTGTATTGCAGATGAACTTACATGCAGGTGCACAACCTGAAGAGACTCTGGAAGTTGGGGCACAGCTGTCAGTTCATTGTTTCCAAGATAAAGATATGCCAGTCCTGTGAGTTTCTGCAACAACAAAAGATCACTATTTCGGCTGCCTGCTGTATCAAACATGCAATGTACATAATGTTTGTAACATTTTAACTTGGGATCTTACTTTAAAAGCAGTTGCCTTCACACCCTTGGTTTTAAGCTGGTTGAAATTGGCATTGAACAGAGTCAGCTTGGCAGGCAGCATAGGCAGTTTAGTCAGTTTGTTTTCTACAAGAATGAGCTCCTCAAGAAGTAGAAGTTTTGAAAAAGCTCCATCGTCTATCTCAGTGATGAGATTCCCAGTTAGGTCAATTGTTTTTATGGTGGCTGGAGTATAAAACAAAGAGAGATGGCTTGAAAGATCACATTCACTGAAGAGTTAACTAAACTATAATGACTTGTATTTACCTATGTCTGCAAAGTCTTGGTTTCTTATTTTTGTGATTTTGTTGAAACGTGCGTGGAGATGTGCTGTTTCTTTTGGCAATGCTGGGACTGCTGACATTTCAGGGAACACCTCCTCACAGTAAACTGATCCAATCAGGCAAACGCAAAGCAGACATGTTGGCATGTCTGAAAAGATCACATGTAATAGGTTTCAGCAATGTGATGGCAGCTTCAAGCTCAACACACACAGTTTGGATGGGGACACTTGATCGACCCAATTATTACATAACACTGCTTTAGCTACATTTACCTAAAAATACAAATGCTTCAACAACTATTGCATAATAAACATTGAAACAGTTGTTCAAAACGATTTATTCAATTTAAAGAAACCTTACCGACAGCTTTTGGAGCTGCTGCTGGGTCAGTGACGGAGTCTTGAACAGTGTCATAGTCTGGAAGGTTTGCAGTGTCTCTCTGTAAAAAGGAGAACCCCTTATAGCAGCTATACACCCTTACAACTCAAGAGGACTATGCATTAGTTCTACCAACTTATTAACAGTGTATACACCTTTAAAGATAATACAATAACAGTGTATACACCTTTAAAGATAAAATTACCTTAGGTCTTCTGACTTCCATGTATTTGTCTTTTGCTGCAGTAGACAATATCCATGGCAGTAGTATGGATGTTAAAAATAAAGTCCTTAATTGCATCATTGTCTCTTAGTTGGTGTCGAGAGAAGAGAGTGTCTGTCAGCAAGCTGGGACCTGAGTTATATGTGAGCAGGGAACTTCCAGCTTTTTATGTAGCTGCCAGTAAGTAAGAAAATGAAGCAACGTTTAACTCAATACATGCTGTGTTAGTGTTGCTCTCAGCCGTCAGGACATTTCTAAAGACTATATACTGTACTTTTTGAAAGGATTTTTTTGTGATTTATGAAATTATTTTGCAAAGCAAGCAACTTACTGGAAAGAGAAAACTATTTAAAGGTATGACTCAGTTCAAACACCAACAAAAAAACAGATAATGCACTCTAGCAGAGGGCTGTTTCTCTATTATAAGGGACATGTACAATGTATGATCAACATTTCTGTATTGTCCTGAAACAATCAATTAATTGATAGACAGAAAATAAATCAACAAGTTTGATCAACAGTACAATCTTTTAGATTCTTTATTGTGCAAAACCACTCCACATCACTGTTTACAGCCTTTAACATTAGAGGATTGTTTTGTTTCAGTTTTATTAAATGATTATTTAAATATCTGTAAGTATTTAGACTGTTGTTCGTTCTCTGTTGGCTCTGGGAATGTTTCACTATTATGACCTTTTTTAAACTATAATTTAAAAAAACTGAAACATAAACAGTAATGAAAATTATCATAACTTAGATCCCTGATGTCACTCAGGTAAAGAACAGAAAGTCATATTCAGGTTTAGAGATGTTTTTTCTATGGCTTGTGCTTCAGACAGATCAATCATGTTAAAGAGTCTGAATGTAGGCTCACTGGGCTAGTGTTTGTGCAAAACAGAGGTTACAATTGTGGTTGACCTTAACGTTTGACCTTGCTGTGCAGGATGAAAGCAAACATAACTGTCTTACATGTACAAAGAGCCATGTTAACTAATAAAATGTAACCGTACAATTATAACCAATACGTTTACCAATTTCCTGCACAGCATTCTGTATAGTTATGTAAGGTGTATAAATGCGGCAGACAGCTCTCATGTTCAAACACACAACATAAATAAATCTGATATCTTTGAAAATACTTATAGTAATGTTGTCTAGAGTTTAACCAAACCAGGGAGCCGTTGCCAGATAAAGATCCGCATTAACGATAATATGCGTTGTTTTGCTGTAATGAAGTGTGGAATAAAAATCGTCATGTAACCTTGTTGTTTGAATGAATCTATAATGAAAATAGTTATGTCAAAGCCCACCAGATAAAACAAATATGGCTTAAGCGCACATATAACTTGTGTTTTTTATTATATTTTACAGTACTATATTAATTATCTTATTTAGCTTATGAGTAGGGGTAGCATTACGTAAGGCAGATGTGCGGTGAGAAAAGAGGAAACAGAACGGGCAGTGTAGCGGAAGTGGTACTGCCCTGAACGATACGCTGAGCGAGACGGAGGACGGAGGCTAAATCGTCCAGAGAGAGAAAAAAAAAGCAGGACTAAAAGTCACCAATATTGTAAGTGTAAGAACATCGCACTTATGTAAGGCGCAATATAAGAGCATATTTTCATTCGTAGCTTAATGTTAGAATGGCGTTTTCATCGTGTCTGGTTGAATCCTGCTGAGAAGCCATTATGATAGCGAGCTGGGTTTGTGAAAGGCTAACGGTTTAGCGCGCTGGCTAGCAGCTCATGCTAACCAGCAAGCTAACGGACGGTCGGATTCCGTGACACTTTGTTCTGACAGGCTCGTCAGCCTAGGCGGGCCGTGATACAGCTGCTAAAAATGAATTAAACGTGAAAGTAACGCGTTAGAGTACACAATTGTGTTTTCTGTGTATAATAAAAAAATGTCAAATGCCGATTGCCAACACCCTAACCGTGTTTTTTAACCGAAAGTCAGTCGTTGCTTTTGTTGGCCTAGCGAACGGACGTTACCGTCACACACTAACGCTACATTTTAAGACGACGCTAGCTAGCAAATGGTTAGCCACTCCTCCACTAGCTGTGCGTATTCATTATTACGACGGATGAGTAATAATAACGGTATCTAATTATGTTAGGTGTCATATTTATATTGTACAAAACTAATTATTATTCTGATCGGTCTCACATTGCAAGCTATATTTGATATCGGTTAGCACAATGTACCGCTCCGCTAGCGTTGCTAGCAACATAAAGGGAGGGCATTAAAACCTGACCCGTGAATGCTTCGCTTGGTGTACTAATTGTCGATTTAAACGACATTAAGAGCCACTAAAACAGTTTTGTTATTTATATTTTACAATATGGCAGTTGTTGATACTGTGAGTGGATTTGATTTAGTCACATTAAATCTAATTGGGGTTAAGGACTAGGAAGGATTGACAAACGCTAGCTAGCAGCTAGCCTTAGCCAGTGATGTGTATGGTTGACCCACTTGCCATGGGGCCCAGTTTGCAATGCTTATCCTCACTTTCCTTTGAATCCAATGGTAACCTCTCTTAGAAGCCAAAGCAAAATAACTTAATAATACAAGTTAAAAGAACAAATAAATGTCAATGTGAGGTCTGTTGTTAACATTTCCCCCTGTTTTTTGATTAACTATACACAACACATCCTAATACTGTTTTTCTTCTCCACCAGTCTAGAAAATGGATAAGAACGACCTGGTACAGAAGGCCAAGCTTGCCGAGCAGGCTGAGCGCTATGATGACATGGCTGCATCCATGAAGGCGGTGACAGAGCAAAATACGGAGCTGTCAAATGAGGAGCGCAACCTTCTCTCTGTTGCCTACAAGAATGTGGTAGGAGCACGCCGCTCATCCTGGCGTGTCATCTCCAGCATTGAGCAGAAGACGGAGGGCAATGAAAAAAAGATGCAGATGGCGCGCGAATACCGGGAGAAGATTGAAGTCGAGCTGCAGGATATCTGCCGTGATGTGCTTGTAAGGATTTTGTATTTTTTGTTTTGTAATTCAATACTTAATCATTCACATGTGAAAATGGCGCTTTGATTCTGAATATCACATAACTAAACTATTTAAACTTTTGTTTTCAGGGGCTACTGGACAACTTTCTCATTACCAATGCAAGTGCTGCCGAGAGCAAGGTGTTCTATCTGAAAATGAAAGGCGACTATTATAGATACCTGTCTGAGGTTGCTTCTGAAGATAAAAAGAAGGGTAAGGACATGCTTAGCATAAGAGATGTGTTCACTGACCATGTGCCTACAGCTGCATTAATACAATTAATAACAAGGGGTCAAATCCTTATATGAAAGGGATCAGTGGGGGTAATTATCCCCAAGTCTGCAGTTTCTTTCCCCCACATGTAGCATTTTTCAACTATATATTTTTGTTCTTCTCTTTCACTATAAAGATACCGTGGAGAATTCCCAGCAGGCGTACCAGCAAGCATTTGACATCAGCAAGGAGGAGATGCAGCCAACACACCCCATCCGGCTTGGCCTGGCCCTCAACTTCTCGGTCTTCTACTATGAAATCCTCAACAACCCGGACAAGGCTTGCAGTCTGGCTAAGGCGGTATGGACTGAAGCCCAATGTCATAATTTCTAAATCCTTTACAGGTTTACTGTGAATAAGATTAGAAGGCAATATTATATTACAATGTTGCTGGATTTTTTTGTAACATTTGAATAACAAGTGTAATATTTGTCTTTCAGGCATTTGATGACGCCATTGCTGAACTTGACACTTTGAATGAGGATTCTTACAAAGACAGCACCCTGATCATGCAACTACTAAGGGATAACCTGACTGTGAGTTTGAAGCACCATACTGTTTTGTCTCTCATTGATCCTATTGTATTACTCACAGCTAATTATAACATTATTTTCTTTCTCTGTTACCAGCTGTGGACATCAGAAAACCAAGCAGATGAGGGAGAGACTGGAGATGGGGAAAACTAATGGAATTGCACTGTTAATCCACCTACACTCTTATCTTAAACACAGACAGCTTATATACATCCCCCTCCACTCCATCAGCTCCTCCCACTTCTGTATGACAAGCAGCCTGAATTGCTCCTGACCAACTAGTTTACCCCTCTCAGTTCACTGTTAGGTGACAGGGTAATTTTTCAGTTAGCAGATTCAGTCACTTTGTGGAAACATGTTGTATTGATTAATGAGTCCATGTTGCTGTTGTTTTTTGTCGGCTTTTGTATGTCTGTATGTAGTGAGAGAGCATGTATGAAAAGATGTGAAAGATTGTATGTGTGGTGGTCTGGGGGGAGGGGGGTGTTGTGAATTCTAATCGTCCTTCCAAATCCCTTTGTCCCAGCTAGTTTGTTGTGCATTTTTCATCCCTTTTTTTTTTGTTATTTTCTTATTTGTGATTCCTCATGATATTTACAGGTTTTATTGTATGGTAATTAAACTGGCAGTTGATTTCCACCAATCACTGTGATGGTAGGCGTCCCATTTGCTTCACAATCCCAAAACAGTTTTTGTGTTTGAATTTTCAGACACTCGTACAATCCTGTATTAACAACTAACTGCAATTCTGCTGTGGGCTCATACAGAAAGGAGGCAGGCTGTATTGTGACACTGACATATTGGTGTAAGGCTCCTTGATCATGTTCACAAATTCACAGTTTCAAGGGACCCCTTAAATTGTCATGTTAGATTTGTCAGACATCATACATTCCACATGAATTAGGCTTTTGGAAAGGCAGTGCTCCTGTTTTTTTTTTTGGAACTAAGTATGGATTGTCATTGTAGTTTTACTCACTGTTCAGGTGCTGCTTGATCTCAGTACAATGAAAATTGTATGTGCGTTAATGTGGTACCATGTATTTTGCAAGATTGACTATCATCTGTATGTAAAACCTAAAGTAACCTTTTATTGATGTTAATTGAAAATGTCTTACCACACTGTATCAACCCTGCTTGCAAAAAATATTCCTCTTAAAGCGGTTGTTTTCTCCAACAAAAAAATCTGTGCCTGGCTTTCTCTTGCAGTATCTGTGGCTGCATCTGCTTGTTTTTTTAGAAATATCAAAGGGAATTAGTTAAGACCAGACAACCTAAATTGCTAAATCTTGACAACATTTTTTTACCCAGGTGCATCTCTCTGCCGTTAAAGATAGCTTGTGTTAATGATCGCCTCAAAAATCAGGTCTAATTTGGAGAGGTCAAGTCCTTCACTTAAGGAAAAAAAGTTCAGTGTCACAATACCATTTATCACCACTACATTCCACATATTGTAGTTGAAGACACCATTCCACATTATTGCTGACCGTCTGTTTACTCTGACAATGCTCCAATGAATTGAAATAATCTTGTCGGGAGGAAAAAAAAAAAAAAATCATGTCAATTTATTATGCTTGATGAAAATGCAGTTAGTGAATGTGGAACGAAGCCTGTCTGTATATCAGGTATTTACTTGCTTTGTTTTTACAAGTCTTATGGCTAAACATTTGCTTCTGTAACAGTCTATTACCCAGTGCACACACACAAGTGGTTGTGAAATTTAGAATAGCTCTAAAAAGCAAGGAAGAAATGGAGATAAACAATGGTTGGTGTAATTCTAGCTTTGTGTTTATGTATCTTAAAACCATTCTAGTTTCACTATACATGTAAGAAATAGAAAAAGTGTCAAAGAACATTCAGTGAAATAAAGTTTCGTTTAAGATAACAGGCAAATAACGTCTTCATTTTTGTTCACAGGAAATATTAATATGATTTAGTAAAGATACATTAAATTCACTGAGTTTTCGTGACAATGTATGATTTCAGTCTGGGCCTTGCAAACATCCAACAGGGGGCGAAACAAGAGATTTTAATACTTTTTATATACAAGAACTAGTTTTCATCGCGGAGTGTCACGCCTGTTAACATATGCCCCCTCACACAGCTTAATTGAAACGACGATACGCGGAGCAGCACTGCAGGTGTTCCACGTCCATAATTAAACGAAAACAACCTACCGCCCATGTGGAAAGTGTTGAACGGCGCTCGCAACCTGCTACTCTGAAAATCATACTTCAGTATTCCGAAGATTGGCTATTTAAAAGCTGTAAGTAACGTTAACTTTTAAACATTTTTTAATTCAATTGTCTTATTGAGATTTTATGCCTTCACCTCTACTTAATATTAGCTAATATTGGTTTTAAAGGTGCTCTAAGAATTGGTGCAAATGTAGCTAACTTTAGCTAGCTCTAGTTACTTAGTGTGTTTTGGTAACTAATTCAATATTTTATGAACTTTTAATTAATGCATTGCTGAATAGACCTTTTTTATAGTCCTAGATTTGTTCATTAATGCCCTGCCATATTGAAACACATTTTTGGATACAATTTTGGAAAATGCTAATTTGGCTGAGGCGTTTGGGCTCTCGCCATCTTTTGAGAAGCATATGGCCACGCCCTCTCGCGTCATAATTATGGGGAAATAAATCATTTTAATAAAACATTAATTGCTTTAACTTTCAGAATGTAGTATAATATAGCCGAATGTAGTATAATATAGCCAACGAGTCATTAAAGGAAGACCATTTTATACTTCCTGGTTATAAGATGGTCAAATTAACCACAAAACTTCCCGAACAACTTTGGGTATAACTGACCTGTTAAGGTTGTACTCACCTTTTGAGTTGGAGGCGTTCATATATTGCTAAAATTGCACAGATTAAGATAAGAAAATTGTCATATTATAATGTGTTTCTAATATAGAAGTTGCCTTTAGAATTTAGAGTTGAATCATAACAAGTGGTATATGGTAACCTTCTTAAAGTGAGAAATGGATCAAAAGCTGTTTTATTTAGGTTTGCAGTGGATATAACTTGGTTTTAATAAACGGGCAACAGGGAGAATGTAGTCTGCATACGCGTCAATGCAATACTCATAACATTCTTCTTTCTTTAACTAGCACTGACTCAAGATGAGCAGCGGTGGACAGTCGTACCCTCTCGCCTCTCTGTATGTAGGCGACCTGCATTCAGATGTCACGGAGGCAATGCTCTACCAGAAGTTCTCTCCTGCTGGACCCATCATGTCCATCCGCGTGTGCCGTGACATCATCACCCGCAGGTCTCTGGGATATGCATACATAAACTTCCAGCAACCAGCTGATGGTAAGTACCAAGTTTAAACTCTATTTTTACTACTGGAAAATTAATACTGGGCAGCACCATTTTTAATTACAGACATGAGCTGCATTTTTTACGTTTAAAATTAAACAAGAAACTTTATGAACTTAAAAATGTATAACAAAGAAAGGGAATTTTGTAGTTGGTATTATGATTTTTCTGGGGATAAGGGTGCAAATAATAATGTAAATGGAATAGGGATAAGTGTTGCCCAATACAACACCCCATGTTTTGTTGTGATGTTTATGCTTATTTCGAAAGCAGTATGGTGAAAAGTCCTGAACCTTTTAATGTCACGAATACAGAAATGGGAGAATTATTGGATTTAACATTTGAGTGAAGCGTAATTAGCATCTTTAGTATCAAACAAAACCACATCACAGACATAAATTATTGTGTGATTTGATAACCGATTTGATTAAAGGAAGTTCAATCTTTAATAGAGCTGTGATATAGATTTGCATGAGGAGCCGTGGTGCTTTATGAAACATTTGATAAAATATAAAAAGGGTTATTAATGTCAGTATTTTTATTTTAAAGCCGAGTGCGCCCTGGATACAATGAACTACGATGTCATCAAGGGTCGGCCTATCAGAATAATGTGGTCTCAGCGTGACCCGGGACTCAGGAAGTCTGGCGTGGGAAACATCTTCATCAAGAATATGGACGAGTCTATTGACAACAAGGCTCTGTACGATACCTTCTCAGCCTTTGGCAACATTTTGTCCTGCAAGGTGAGTTGCCTGGGTCATTTTCTTGGTATTCATTCATTTCATTATGCAATATTGGAAAAATACGTTTGAATACAACAGTAGGTGGTGCAGTACACTTTAAATGAGTGGCACAGCATTACAACGGATGATCACTGCAAAGAACCATTAAAGTAAACAATATTGACAACATTTGATCACAGTTTGCTTAGAATATTGTCTTTGGATGACTACATTTTCCAAAACAATAACATGATGATCATATTCTGACACAATAGATCTGTTCAATCAGTTTGTAATTGTAACGATCACCTGGCCCAGTACAAGACTACACTAGGTGCTTATTTGTTCTGCAATTGATGCATGATTTAAAGCCTTTTTCTTGTAGGTTGTTTGTGACGAGAAAGGGTCCAAAGGTTATGGATTTGTTCACTTTGAGACTCAGGAAGCGGCAAACCGGGCCATTGACACCATGAATGGGATGCTGCTGAATGATAGGAAAGTGTGAGTAAACTACCAGTCTAAAAGGTGGTGAAAATGTGACCTAAAAAAGTAAATCCAGGCAAAGACTAGTGCAGAATATGTATGTGTGTTTTTAACTTTATAAACTGTGAATGAATGCTGGATGACGTGTTTTGTTTTTTGCTCAGTCAAAAGACAGGTAAACAATTGGAATCTGGCAATGTCAACCCAATGGCCAATTTGCTGGGGCGAACATGTCAGTTGTCCCTCCTTAGGTCAGTTGATAGGTAGGATCTGTGTCGAGGTGTTTTGTCTCTGTGTTGTGATTTGAGGATTAAACAGGCAAAGCATGATCATCAGAAAGCTCTCGTGTCCATGCAGAGTAGGCGTTTCATTCATAATGGAAAGAGAAGTGTTCATTCATCTGTGAACAATAGTTACAGGAATAATCACTTGTGATAGAACAAATAGAAAATGTGTGTGACAGTTTAGTCTATATATCGTTCTATTTTCTGATGCTTGTCCTTATCTGCTATGTCCTTATTTGATGCTGTGTGCTTAAGCCAAAGATGCACCTTTTTTGAAAGTTGTCCTTCTTTATTGTCCCCTTGGTGATGGGTTGGATTTTCTTTGTAGTTTTGTTGGCCACTTTAAGTCTCGCAAGGAGAGAGAGATGGAGTTTGGTACCAAAGCGATGAAGTTCACCAACGTCTACATCAAAAACTTTGGTGAAGAATACACGGAGGAGAAACTCAAGGAAGTCTTTTCGGCATTTGGTAAGAAAGTAATTTTTTTTAAATCATTTTTGTTTTGCTCTCCCACTCACTTAGAGGCCTGTCTGTTTTGTATTGACTGCCACAGTTGGTATTAGATTTGCTTTCCTGTAACTTAGTCGATCAGACCGTCACAGACTGTTCTGTGCTCTCAGGCAGGACTCTCAGTGTGCGGGTGATGAGGGATGACAGGGGCCGTTCCCGAGGCTTTGGCTTTGTGAACTACGCTAACCACGAGGATGCTCAGCAGGTAAAATGTGCCACGTTTTCACTGTCCATCTAGTTCTATAGATGCCTGCCAACACTAGCTGCTCATTATTTTGACTTCAAGGCAGCATTGACTTGTAACAAACACACCAGGCTGCATCGATGTGCTGCTCAAAGTGAGCTTCAAAGTGTGTCACACCCACAAGCTAAAGAACTCTGTCTATCGCTTCTTATTACTTCTTTCCTCTCACCCACATGTAATCCCCTTCATAATTATCAACATTTGTGTCTTACCAAGCCAAAGTCCATGTCTGACTCCACTTCTGCACAACGTATACAAAAGTGAGGCTGCTACAGCGATAACAGTTCTTTGCAATCGCAACAATGCATATAAATATGGCCGCTGCTCTGACCATCCTGCTCTGTTGATCTGAATAGGAACATCTGTCTGCTCTCTATTTCTACAAGACAGACGACACGTAGTATCTCAAACATGTTGATGCTCCTCTTGTTTGCAGGCAGTTGATGATATGAATGGAAAAGATATCAATGGGAAGACCATCTTTGTCGGTCGTGCTCAGAAGAGACTGGAGCGCCAGGGAGAGCTCAAGCGCAAGTTTGACCAGATCAAACAGGATCGCATCCAGCGCTACCAGGTGCTGCTGCAGGGTGCATCTGGGCCCAGACATTTGAAGGCCTTTTAATGGTTTTACCTCAAGTGGATATTTTTTATAGAATATTGGTTAAATACTTGTAAAAAAGGTAGTTTTCATAATGGAGGCCTTACCCGAATTGTTGTGTACAGACGTTAACTGATGCATAATTTACATGTAAGCAGATGGATGACAAAATGCTAGTTTAAATATTCCTGTGTATGTTTGTAAAAAAATATATAAAGAGAACAGAAAAGAGATGGACAAAATGGTTGGGAAGCATAAAATGTAGTTAAGCTTAATCGTTCTGATTCCAGGGGGTGAATCTGTACGTGAAGAACTTGGACGATACCATAGATGACGAGAGGCTCGGGAAAGAGTTTGCCCCTTACGGCACCATCACCAGTGCCAAGGTAATGAGATGAGATTCACACACGTAACAATCATTGTGATTTTACTGTTGAATTATCAGAGGTAGGAATATTTTTATATTATATTTTTTATTTAACCTTTTATTTAACCAGATAAAAGCATTGAGATAAAATCTCATTTTCAATGCTAACCTGGCCAAGAAGGCAGCAACGTTACACATAACACAAACATATAAAATACAGAGAACATAACTAAGAAAACAAAAGACGAAAAGCAGTCACTACATTGTGCACATTAGGACAGTAAGAAAGGTACACTACTTATTACTGCAAGAGCAGCTGGTGGTAAGGACTTCAGACAACTTCAATTTAAAACATGCTATTGAGACAAGTGCCCTCAGTTTGAGGCTTGATTGAAGGTCATTCCAAGACCAAGGACCACAATAAAAAAGACTCCTTTTTCCAGCCTCAGTCCGCACAGCAGGTACCTGGAACCGTACAATACAACTTAATACTACTAGACAGTAAAAGCCCGACCATTAAACCTTAAGGAGATACACCATCAATTGTATTCTCCCAGAATGAAGGACTCACTGCCCATTGCAGAAGAAAGCTGAACATCACCTTATCCTTTTCCACTGCTAGTTACAATGTGATGGAGCATCAAACATCACTGTGGAGGATGGCATTCTCTTCTGAATTTCTTAAAGCATTTCCACAAGACAGTCCACTTGTACATAGATTTGTATGCGCTTTATAATGACTAATTTTAAACGCGCGGCTGGCCAGGCATAAATCATTTTTATTTTCTAATATTTATTCTCATTTGTCTTTTTCACAAACGTTGTGAAAAAGTTGAACATATGCAGTGAGGCTTGATGAAGAGGAGGGCAAATTATTGAGGTACTTTTGTATGAACTTATTATTCTTATAATGAAAGGCTCGTTAGTGATCTGAAAAAGAGCTTCAGGGTGGGTTGTGAGGATTTGGGCCATCCTGGTTCTATTCACAACAATCAATCAACTGCTTAAATTCAGGTCTGGAATAAAGGATTAAACATGCCATGGAAAAATGTCATATAAAAGCTTAAGGAGTATAAATCAGTGTCCTACAAAGAGACAAGCCCAAAAATATTTCCTTTTCAGTCATTAAGCCAGCAAATAAATGGAAACAGGAAATGTCTAAGGGTAGGAGAGTTTGGCAGAGCTTTAACAGGCAAAACAACATTCAGTGAATCATTTTTCAATATTTATGAGTCACAAGGTCTTAAGTAGGTGAAGTTCCTGCAGTGGCGTCAGGGTCACAAGTCCTGATTTCTGTGTCCTGTCTCAAGTCTACAGCTCTGATGTAAAGCGTCTTAAACATTTGTTTTTTTCCCTGCAGGTCATGACCGATGGCTCCCAAAGCAAGGGCTTTGGCTTTGTCTGTTTCTCCTCACCCGAGGAAGCAACAAAAGCAGTGACTGAAATGAACGGGAGGATTATTGCCACCAAGCCACTGTATGTGGCTCTGGCTCAGCGGAGGGAGGAGCGTAAAGCGATCCTGACCAATAAATACATGCAGAGGATCTCCACAATAAGGACCATGCCGAGTCCCATCATCGACTCTTTTCAGCAGGCCGGATACTACATGACTGTGCCTCAGGTACGGACCGTTATACAGTGAGAACAGAGAGCGACTGATATTCATCATGTGGAACATCACCAAAGCTTTTGGAATTATTTTCAATACCTTCTCTATTAAGCCACAACATTTATTTAACTTTTTCATACATACAGCCAATCATTTTTTAATAATAATCCGTCCCAATTGTTCATTTTGCCAAGTAGTTTAAAAGATGGAAATGTAATCAAACCAACCAAAATATTGCAGCAAAATGTTCACCTCTAAAACCAAGATATCTATTTGATAGATTGTATTAGGGGTGGGCGATATGCATTTTCAGAGATATATCTATCGTGATAGTGCACCAGGGTAGGATTTTCACGGCGGCCATGATGGCCGGTCTGGCCGTGAAGCCCCGAAAATAATTGTACGTCCTACGGCCACCACGGCCTGTGTGCCCCTGATACTGTTAAAATCTCAAAGTTGCTTTAAAAGCATCAGAGCAGTGGTTTCTGAACTGCGTTATGCTGCGTTCACAACGGACGCAATACAAATATTCTCACCCTAACCGCTGGAGTTTCACCGTGGCTGTCAGCTGTGTTTACTCCTGTCATTCAAACAGGACACTCTGGAGAGGGGGCGTGGCGTATATACATGTAAATACTGTGGTGGAAACCAACTACGACAAAATTAACCTATTTTACCGTGATTTAATTGTAATACACGTTTCAAAATGATGCCGAACTAAATACTGATAACGGTTAGTAAAAACCAAGCTGTCTAGTCAGGATTCAGACAGACAGACTTCATTTATTGTCTTGGTTGATTCTGTTGGCTTATATTTTATTTGATCAATAAGGTATTTATATTGTTTTTCACTTTTGAAACATATTTTCAGTTATGCTAAAGTCTTTAATTGCACTTCAAGTCTAAAGTTTACATTTTAATTGTTTGGCACTGACTTTTCCTCATTGATGTTTTATGTTTTATTTAGTGCTGTCAAAATTATCGCGTTAACGGCGGTAATTCATTTTTTAAGTTAATTGCATTAAAATATTTAACGCATTTAAGGCATGTGCAGAATGGCCCGCCCCATACATCCCACCAGTGGCAGCGCCAGGGTATGGCTGGGGTAGGCTACACCCATACCAAGAAATGGCTTAGCCCCACCATGCAAAATGATGTTAAAGTAAGCAAAATAAAGTCCGCCAACTCGCGCCGAGAATTGCACAGACAGCAGTTAGTAAGATTGATTTCAGTAGCCACTTGTCTGGAAATACCGAAGACCAGAAACGGTTTTGAAAACTTTTGTCACGTAGTGATCGTCTTCTCAATAGAACATCTTTGATAATGTCTTCTGGCCAATCAGAATCAAGATAACGGCGTGGTGTTGTTGCAGGAAGTCCCGACGGAGAATACTTTTGCTGTAGTACAGGTAACACATAACTGGTACGCAGGTTATGTGCGTAATCTGAAATGCGTACCGTCACTTGTGTCTCAAAGCGCATTTGCGTACCGACGTACTTGTGAAGCTTTTCCAGAAGGCGGTTCGATCACCGGACGACAGAATCGGTCTCCGTGTGCACAGACAGGCTGCTGTTAACGTCGGTCTGTACAACGGAATTGTGCCAAAACTACGCCAATCAGCTGCTGAGGGAGACTCCCTCCCTTCACTGGAGAACTGCGCTAAAACAGCGTTAACACTCTGTGGTCACGAAGTACTCCACTAGCGCCCCCCCCCCCCCCTCTGTCGACTTTCCTGAAGTACTCCCCCGTTGATAGAAATCAACACGTAATGAATTAAGACCCCACGGTTTGATGATTGATTGGTGCTCTTTCATTTTGACACACATACATTTTTTACAGTAAACATGTTAAATGTATATATCCGCCTTCTTTCATTTATCTTTCCATTCCCACAACAATATACATAAAGAAATGACATATTTTGGACATAGTTCGAATGGTGATTAATCATGATTAATTAATTTTTAAGCTGTGATTAATCTGATTACAAATTGTAATCGTTTGACAGCCCTAGTTTTATTTAGTTATGTTTTACTCTCCTTTTCATGTTTATTGATGTTACATCACTGCTAGTGCTACCTAAAACAGAAAGTGAAGTTTTATACTGAGAAACTGTGCCTTGAATATTTTATTTTATTTAGCAAGAGAGTGCACTTTACTTGGTGAATAAACCAGTTTTAACGTTTGTTGTGTAGGGTGTAGGCCTACCTACTTGAACACTGAGGAAGCCATATCAAAATTCCTGTTGAATTGTTCATTCAGGGATTCATTGCATAATTAAAACCAGCTTGAAATGGTATTTTGGTCTCTTACTCCTTTTTATTTTAGTTTTTGTTACCTTGTAGGTGATTGTACTGTTAAGTAACTTGAAAAATAACCATAATAACCGACATGAAAAAATATCGTGATAAATATCGTCTATCGTGATACCGCTTGACAAATATCGTGATATTATATTTTTCAATATCGCCCACCCCTAGATATATATATATATATATATATATATATATATATATATATATATATATATATATATATATATATATATATATATATATATATATATATATATATATATATATATTGTGATTCAGAGGTTGACCTGCAACATGTTTCCATACATTTTTTCCCTAGCAGCCTCCCACACGCTCTTTCTACAACCCCAATGCTGTCAGCAACATGAGACCAGTGCCGCGTTGGACCGGACAACCACAGAGACTGCAGGGTGAATGGGTTGCATTTGATTTATGGTGACATGGATGCATATATGGATACATGTAGCATGTGTGTAAATGTTGTATTCTTTGTTTTTAGGCCCCTACTCGAACCAGTTTGTTGGACCCTCTGTTCCCCGGCGTGGACCGACCCCCATCGCTACGGTCAGGCAGGCCTCCACTCAGGCTCCACGCATCATAAGCTGCTCAAATAAGACCAGTAAGTTATGTATGTATTACAGCACGATGAACACCCGTCTTAAAATGTGCCATTCACGTGCATTGTAAAACCACTTTTTTGTTGTTGCTGTATTTAGATAACATCGGCACCCAGACCCAGGGAGGGCGCACTGATGTGGCTGGTATGACCAGAGGAGGCCAGTACAAGTATTCAACTGCAGTGAGAAACGTCCAGCAGGTTGTTAATATACCGCAATCTATGGCAAGAATACAGGTACTGCACTGTTCTCTAATCCTGATACTCAATCAGGACCAGGAAGTACATCACTGTTTGGGTTTACCAGCTGTTTCTGGAGCCCTGGAGTGGAGTGCACCAGCTGGGCGTAAAAAAGTAGGTCTTAGCTACGTCCGACTTAGTGATTTGAATTTACACCGACTGCACCAAGCCTGACTAGTCACGGTCGTAACTGCGCCTAGTCTTAAGATGCGCGTCCACATCAATACACGCAAAACAGTAATTGTTGCCAAGCAACACACGTCTACATAATTTAACACTCGAACTTCTCCATTCAAAGCGAGCTGGAAATAGGCCCCCTTGGAGTAAGATCTGAGCGCAATCAGCACCTGCAAGGTTGGGGAGAGCGCTGCATTTCGGTCTGATCCGTGCTGCAGGTGCGGGGAGATCTCCTCGTTTAATTCATAAAGCGCTTGTTTGCCGAAACGAAACCTCTATCAGCTCACTGTCCGAATAGATGTCCAGTGGGTTTGTTCCATCACGGACGACTCTTTCTTCTCTTAATGCCCTTTCGTTGTTAAACATGTAAACAAGATGCACTGCCATCGTTATTTTTCTTCTTGCCTGTTTTACGTTACTATGGATACTAGTCCGATTTACGCCTGCTCCATACTAGACGTAAAAGTTACACCCAGGCGCAACGCATACAAGGCTTAAGTCTAATGGCGCGTTTCCACTGCAGCGGGGTAGCCCCGTTTAAGCGCCCCTAAGCGTCCTCGCTCTGGCCTCGGGCTGCCTCGCTGGCCGGCCCAGGCCGTGGCGCATTTCCATTACAGTTTAGGACCTGGGCTAGCAACGCAGTGTAGGCGTGGCGATCAGCTTTTTGGCGGGCTTTTTGGGCGGAGCGACGCTGAGATAAAACTGCAGTGGCGTCATCTACATTTCTCGTTGTTCCGTCGAGCTCCCGCTGGATTTTATCATCCCCAATGAGATGAAGGAACGTCGTCACCTCCTCGGTCGACCACGGTGTGCTTTTCTTAGAAGTAGCCATTTTTGTAGCTCCTCCGTTTACAAAATGCTGTTTATAAAAATGCTGCAAGCTTGCTTCTAGATATATATGCGACACTAGGGATGAACTCGCGCGCAATCTTGTGACGATTCTCTCTGACCAACCAGCAGTCGAGAGTGTTGACGTCACTAGTTCAGCCCTGGCCCTGGTCTGAGGGAACCACGATTTTATGAGGCCGGAAAAAGAGGGAAAAAGTACCCGCTGGCCGGTACTAGGCTATATGGAAACGCCACCAAAAACCGGCCTGGCCGGTTGAGGACGCTTAAATGGGGCTACCCGCTGCAGTGGAAACTAGTCAAAGTGATGCACTAGTCATAACTTTAGTTTGGTCTTAACCTTCGGTTCTACGTCGGACGTAGAGTTACGACCAGTCTTACGCCCAGCTGGTGCACTCCACTCCAGTACCCTGTAAAGTTCTCTTTGGGGGGAAATTATGTTTCAAGTGATGTTAACAAAAACAACTATTTTTATCCAAGCAATGTTTATTGCATAATTATATACAGTACGTTATAGGATTATAATTATTGTTGCTTTCATGTGTTACCTGCTGAAAATTAAGCGGGTGAATGTGAAGCTATTTTTATTTTATATAGCCATACTTTATATATTATTTTGAATCTTGCTACATTCAAATCCTTAATGTAATATCACAATTAATTTAATTATTCAAATTGTTTGTAATCTGACGCTGTTAAATATATGTAGTTGAGGAAGATATTTGCCCCTGAGATGCAGACACTGATTGACAGTGATTGTCAAAAGACGACAGTTTGCAGCTGTGTGTTAAACTCGCTGTCTTCAGGTTGTTCCTGCCCCGATGATGGAGCCACCGCCCGTGCACTTTGGAGGCCGTGAGCCGCTCACCGCCTCCATGCTGGCTTCAGCTCCACCCATGGATCAGAAGCAGCTCCTCGGTGTGCCATGATTTCATTCTGCCTTTGTTCTTCTTTGATGTAGATTGTGTGAGTGCGTTGGGTTGCTAATCTCTCTCGCTGCTGTGATTCACAGGAGAGCGACTGTATCCAGTGATCCACTCCCAGCACCCAAACTTGGCTGGAAAAATCACAGGCATGCTGCTGGAGATCGACAACTCTGAGCTGCTGCACATGCTCGATACTCCCGAGTCCCTGAATGCTAAGGTATCACTACGTCCACTTGTTGTCTTGCTATTACACAGCTGGCATTAAGGACTACTGCAGATTACAGGATTTATGATTGTTGTTATGATCTGGTCATTTTCTCTTTAGTTCTTTAGAACAAAGGTTGGCACTCAATCAGAACTTATGCTCGTTAGGACAGGTCGGCCTATACAAATCAAAGTGTTATTTAAAAAGTAATGTAATAGGATAGTTTACATAAGAAAACATTTTAAACATAAAAAGGTCATAGTATAGCATTTCTTTAAAAAGCATGTCATGAAGATGATAATACATGTTATTTGTAAAACACCTTTCATTGCTAAAAGCAATCCCAAAGTGCTACAAGAGGCGTAATGGAAAGAAAAACACAAGTTTAATCAAAGGCTTTTTTTAAAAGAAAGGTTTTTAGGCCTTTCTTAAAGGCGTCTGTGGTCTGTGGAGGGAATATTTATAGATATTTAAATAAATCATATATAGTATGTTATTATAGTACTATGTAATTAAAAAGTCATAGTACATTATGTAACAGAGAAGCCTCAAAAAAGGTCATAGATTCAAAGGCTTTAATGTCATATGCACACAATGAGCTAAGTTGTTCCTCACTTTTGCTCAGGTGGATGAGGCGATTGCCGTTCTGCAGGCTCACCAGGCCAAGGAGTGCTCTCCTACCAAGTGAAGAAGCCCTTTCAGGTTAGCAACATCTTCCTCTTCCTGAGTTCGAAGACATTTTCCACAGGAGAGGATTCTTATGGTGCGTTCACACCGGACCAAAAAGCTGCTGTGTTCACGGTTTAGTTCATACATTCTTAGGTTTGCAGTTCATGTTTTATCATTATCTTTTCGTGGACAAACATTGCCAAGGCCCTCACGCCCAAATCCTACTGCAAGTATCTGCAACAGTAATTTATTCAGTTACCTGCGTTTTACCCTTCAGGCGAAAGCACATCAGCGAGCTAGGACTTTTGGTTGTTGTTGAAAGTGGCCTTCGTTACACTGGTCCAGAAACATTGCTGCACGTGTTTCATAAACAGTTTGCTGATTTGCCACTAAAGACTAATAATCTTATTTTTTCCAGATGTCAACGACTTTCTGGAGGAGGAAAAAAAAACTTTAAAAAACAGTAAAACTTTGAAAAAACTAAAAAAATATTAAAACTATTTTGTTGTTGCAATACCTTTTTGTTAGATAAAGTTCAAAGTATATGCATTAAACCTGTCTTGTGTCATTTGTTGAACACAAAATGTGCGGTTCATCCACAGGAAAGGCTATGTGCTAAGGCGGGGCAGTTAACCAGATGCACATTTGCAAACCAAACAGCTACATCGTACCATAACTGTTTTTATTACACTTCCAATAAGTTGTTTGTCCAAATTAGTTACGTTTTCTGGAAGAGTCTTCTTCCTCTTACTGCACTGATGAAGGGTGGGAATTGCCAAATAGCCTGTGATATCTTTTTTTGATGTTTGGGCCTTAAGCATCAGTGGAAAGGACAAGGTGAGTTTCTTTAGACCGTTCAGCCTGAGAAAAGATTAAGAATACATGACTGCTTTTGTAAATGTATCCCTGATAACTGCCCTTGATCTATTTTAAGTCACGCTAATAGTCATACTGTAACAGATCAACTTTCACTTAATTCAGATAATGAAGGCTAAGTTGCGTGGTACGCTACATGAAGCACAAAATAATGAAATCAGCAATTTTTTTTCAGAGGCAACTCCAGTTTATTGGTGTTGAAACATGGTGTCCAATGATGTTATAAATACTTTAAATCATAACAGCTTTATTTAACCTGAAAATACTTAATCTGAAAAAGGACACACAGAAAATGAATTGTCAAATTTGCCAAAGTTTATTGGGAGCCTTCATACAAAAAATGAAATTATGGCTGTAAAAAGTTACAAAGGATTATTGTCGACATTGATATACTTTTGGCATTTAAGGCCTATAACCCAACAGTTTTGTAACTCTTTTGCAATTTTAAATCTAAAATTGGTGATTTAAACAAGCAGATAAGACAGGAATATTTAAAAACATACAGACCAATAGATAACTGCAGATTACTTCTCGTGGTAGTTTACAACACAAACCCACAAAAAATGTGAAAAGCAACAAAACAAAAAAACCCTGCCTATTCTTCAATGGTGAACACAGGAGGTTGAGGCAACTTTTATTACACACAGCCATCTAATTTCAAAGCGTCTGTTTCAACGACACCTCCATGACTGCAAACAAATGTATTTACACTGAATTTCTTAAGCATGTCTCAGACTATCGACGTGTCGGCATTAGAAGCTGCTTCGCTGTGACTGAATCAGGGAAAAGGTTGTGGTAGGTTGGTAAGGGAACGTAGGCAGCCGTTATCATTTTGCCTGGAAACGAGAGAACAAGGAAACGTTAAAAAGAGCAAACTTTCTACCAGTTGTTTTTTATAGCTACATTTTAAAGATTCAAAAACTAATTTCATTGTCAAATACCTGCAAACCAGCGTCCATGAAGTGCATTTACAGTGGCCATCGCTGCTGGTATTGAGGGACACTTCACGTACACGTTACCCTGTGAAAGAAAGGAAACCTGTCACTATGGATCAACTTCAACATGGACTATTTACTTTTCTGTCCACTAGGGAAGTCAGATTTGCTTTGTGAGTGAACAAATCTCAAAAACCTGTAATTATTTACTTACTTGAGCAGAGTTCCTATCAACATAAATGTGAACAATCCCTCCATGTTTGTTACACTCTTCAATAACATCATCTTGGATCTCAGCGGCCCAGGTGAGATCGTTTTCTCTGAAAAATAAAAGCACATTTTAATATTTGAAAACTGGCGGTAGGAATGTTGTGCCAACTTAACTATACGAGACAAATTTGAAGAAATGTATAATCCTTACGCTTGTGGGTTGAACAGGTTGGAGAGCTGAAGGCAGTGAGTGGCCAGCGGTTGTGACGGGAGGTTCAAGCCATGGCTTTGCGCTTGAGAATGAACAGCTGAAACAAAAGTCATAATTTATCACAATATTTTCAAATACATGAATAAATATACAAAGAAATATTTTCCATCATTTAGACCCTCACATTGTTGAGAAATGTTTCCGAAGGGTATGGACCCGGTCATCTGTAGAGCCTGCTGAGCGGCAGGAGGGATCTTCAGACCAGTTCCTGAGGAGGGAAGGACTGTTATTTTCAAAATACTTACATATACAATATTACATATTACAATACAACATCCAGGAAACAAGCCTCAGTAAGCTAAGATCAAAATCCTGTGTCAGCTGTAACAGACAGAAATATTCACACCTACATCTTGTTTACGATGCAGAGCTACTTAGAACGAGCCTTGACTGCATACATCTTAATCCCTAAAAAAAAGTATCCAGTTAACTAACAAAACCATTTTAGTGGCTAGAACTTGAGCATATATATTTTTGTCTCATGACTGACACTTGCTGTTCAATAGGACAAAATGAATATAAATGTACTTTGTTTTGGTTTTGTACAGTCAAAACAAAGTGTTGCATGTGATGACGGACCTTCTGCTAGTCGAGCCATCAGCTGAAGGCGCCCCGTGGTGCCGAGGTCGATGCCGGTCCTCTCCAGCTCATCGTTGTCCAGGAAGGAGCTGGCTGTCGACGAGTCGGAGCGCTCTGTAACATGCCCCACCTTCATCGGACGTCCGGCCAGCTCAAAGCCGTTCAGCTGCTCCAGGGCCTTCTTTGCACATTCTGCATCTGAAAACTTTAAGAAGCAAAGAGGTAAGAATCAGACTACCTGAACTCTACTAAATCACTGTGAATGAAGTAGATAATTTAATTACCGATATGAAGCCATATCCTTTGGATCGTCCGGTCTCACTGTCCATCATTAGCTGGATTCCCTCGATCTTTAGACACAAAACACACCAATATAGGAGGATTATTATCAATGCATCTACAAATTAAGTTAGAACTATATGTGAACAGGTTTTTTCACCTTTCCAAAAGGCTCAAAGATCCCTCGCAGCATTTCCTCAGTGATGTTGAAGTGCAGCGAGCCGACGTACAGCCTCATCGGGCCTGAGCTGCCCTTCTGTAGATTGTTGGCCGCAGCTGCAGCGCGATTTTTCTCGGCCTGTTATTACATGAAGTTATGTAATCACGTTAATTCAGCATATCAATGTAGAACAATATAATTCATTGTAACCCCACTGTAATATGCCTAAAACAAGTTTCCATTTAGATAAATATGTTTGTTGGATATACGAGGTGCCCACCTGCGAGGCCTGGACGATGATGGGCACTCCTAACAGCCTCTGGCCGGTCAAACCGATAGCCAGCGGTACAGAGGAAGACTCCACAAACTCGATGTATGCGATGCCCTTTGACCTCCTGGAGTTTCTGTCCGATATCATTCTCACATCTCTTACCTACAGAGAGAAACAGTGACAGTTTAAGACATGATGTCCCCACACAGACTTGCTGGATTGTACTAGAAAATAACTTGAAAATCTACAGACTTTTCCGACAGCCGAGAAGAAGTCTTCCAGGTCTCGAGCTCTGATTCTCGCAGCCAGCTGCATACAGAACACTGTGCGGGCATCCCTCTCCTCTGGTGTGAGATTGTCAATCGGTTGCCTTTAAAAAGAGAAACAGCCAATTTATAAAAAAACATTAAAAATTAACAGTGTATTATGTGTGAAATTGTAAATATTGTGACAAATCAAAAAAGGTAAATCTTACTCCCTGATTTTGTTATACTGCCCGATAGCATCCTCAAAGTTTCTTGAATAAAAAGAAGAAATGTAAAAGATCTGTTTAAACCTCTCTTCAGGGTGCTATAGCAAAATCAGGAAATGCTGCCATTGGCTCATAAACAGTAATGTGAAGGTCTTACCGGATGGGACTCTTCTCTTTTTTGAAAGGGCTGCGGCTTTTGGAACGTTTCCGGCTGAAAAAATAAAGAACAATTACTTTACGACTTTTAAATATATTGAGTTTAGAAAATGATTTACTACTGAGGTCATAGTTAGTGATGGTTTTAAACTGGACTGCATTAATGGCCCAGTTGTATTTAGACTTTTCAGACAATGTTTCCATAAAACAGAGCACTGTAAGCTACATAGAGACAGCAGACCGCTGCATTATATGGAACCATAGAGGGTAAATGTCATCAAGTATAAAAGGTCACATACACCGGGCTCTTGCGGGCCCTGTAGCGCCCGGAGCGCTCCTTGCTTCGGGAGCCGCTCCGATGCCGCTCCCTGCTGCGGCTCCGTTTTCTTTCTCTGCTCTTGCTCCTCTTCTTACTCTTCTTTTTGTCTCTGCTTCTGCTCCTTTTCTTCTTAGAGCCTGGGCTTCGGCTCTTACTACGACTCCTCCTTTTCCTGAAACATGGTACAACACTGCTATCCTTGTGCAAGAAAAAGTGATCACATTAAATAGTAACAACTTGATATACGTCAGAACCACAAAGTGGCCAAATAATGTGGGATATAATATTTTAAAGACTTACTTCTTGTTTTGGCCGTCATGTCCATTTGCATGAGAGGACCTGATCTCATCCTAAGCAAGGTTGATAGAAGAACATCATGAGGACGTAGATGAAACATTTCAAGTCGTCAAGGTAAAGGGGGTGGAGGTGGGACAAGAGAAAATGCAGAATGTATATAATTAATAATAATAATAATAATACTTCAAAACTTCCTACTGTCATGTCTGGACAGTGTCCTTCCACCACCCCAATAGCTTCCCATCCCACTTCTGCTTTTTACAAGGCTGCTCAGTACTTAATGCAACAAAGCAAAGTTAAGGGAGTCTCCAACATATTAGCAGAGTTCAGGAAGCTTTCAGATCATCTCCACCATTCCCCTCCTTATAGGTCGTACCAAAGCCACTATTTGTGCTTAATCATGTGACCACGCATGGCCCACGACCACTAAAAGAGATCCTGTGTGGTTGGTGTCAGTCCAGTGATCTTCACCCATTTTCGTTCTTGGACTGTAAGAGCTCGATGCCACCTCTGTCACACATCTTGCCCTGAAGCAAACAGGGATTCACACTTCTTAGTAATATTGACGCCCAAGGAAAATAATGAAGAAATAAAAAAAAGAAATAATCCATCAATTCAGCCACGTGTTATACTGCCATTATCTTTAGTCTGAATAAAGTATAAGTAATATTTCCAATCTTTTGACTTAAGGAATTATTAACTACTGAAAAAGAACTGACTATAAAAACAATGATGCAGGATAGTCTATTTTACAACCATTCTAAAAAATATATCAATATCTTTGGTTTTGTGTAGCATGCAAAATTAAGATGCTGATTCACATAACAGTTGACTATGGAAAAGAGGCAGTATTCACATTCACTTGCAAGAAAAGTTAATTATTCACCTGTGTTTTGCCATAAAAACATGACATGGCACATGTGCTGGAACCATGAAGCTCCACAACTGCAATATCTGCATTTTCAAGCATACTGTTGTCAAACTACAGCTAATGGATTTAAAACAGTTATAGATTGATATCACAATTCAGTATCCCTTAATGACTTAAAAACACAAAATTATACAGGTTTCTAACTAAAGAGCAGTTTCGTTGAAGTTGAATTACTTCAGGCTACAGAATTATAATTTTTTGTTAAAGCCAAAAAGTCCAAGTAATTTCAGAAGTCGTGTTTTAAGCGGTTTGTACAGGACTGTTGAGAAACAGTGTTGGCATGCAGATTATAAATCTGAATACTGCCTCCTTTCCTGGACAGGTAAAGATTGGCTTATCAACCATTGGCATTCACCTTGTTGCAACCGAATAGGGATTAGATGTTCTAGGTTGAATCTCTTTTACTCCTAAAGTGAACCACAGTACATCAGTATATGCACAATAACTACCTTCCTTTTTTTCACAGTTCACAGTGGAATCAAAGATGAATTCATGGGAGTAGAGGTGAGATATCATTAGGGAAGTCTATAAAGAGAGATAGATGCGGATTTATTTATAATTCTGTATTGCGTTTTAAATACTCAATCACACCACACAACATTCAAGTAAACTTTGTCACAGTAAGCAAATATCAAAGGACTCAAGAGTAAATCATAACAGTGAAACAGGCCTCATATCTCTTTCATCTGAAACCCACCTTTCTGAATGGAGCCTCCAGCATGGCCTCAACGTCAAAATCATCAGCCATGATGATCCTGTGAAACAGAAAACAATGATCTTTACAATCAAGAAACTTGTTTTGAATGGCTTATGAAAGAGGCGGTACGGATTCTTCTTGAATCTTTGTTATGCAGTTGAATACAATCAAGTTTGAAAAGAAATGGTTGAGAATTAGGCTAAGCAACACGGTTTATCTAATAGATATTATACACACTTAAAGTAGGCTACATTGGTTCCTACTGATAAATTGTGTTAGCTGTAATTAGCCCTTCATACTGTACGAGTCTACAGCTTTATACCCTTGACTGTTCAGTTGTTGTTGTTTTTTTAGATGTACATATTTACCGGTTTTGTTTGGGGGGTTTTCTACTCTTTTTGGCATTGTGTGCAATGGCTTGTTTACATGCTGCTGTGGCGAAAACAATTCTCAAATTGGCCTCAATAAAGTAAATCTAATACAATGGATAGATGTTACGCTATGTTACATTTGTTTATCAGCTTTCCTACCTACCTTACCTGGTGTTTACAGCTGTATCTTCTTAGGGTTAGTCATACAAGTACACTCGCATTCAATGACAAAGGTAAATCACATGAAGTTACTGAAAGCTAGATTCACGTCTGCTAGAAAAACAGAGCTACGTCAGTTAGTTCGCAGCGATACGAGATAGAGTTGGCCCAGACTTCCTTACACATTTCGTTTATATCATAAATGTAATCTTGAATGAGATCAATTAAGTCACAGATTAAAGAGAGCTCAAACGTAGATTTAATATTAATGATAAACACGCGTTGCACTCAACACGGAGCTAACCCTCACTAGCCACCTTGGGGAGCTACATCTCCGTCGTGTTAAGCTTGTATCATTGACTGTTATTATTAATTTACCGCATCGTTCGACTAGTCTGCTCACATGATTATACATTAACGTATACACATCGTCAGTATGAATCAAGTTCAAGACATCATTACCCTGAAATGTTTACAAATGGCCGAGTAATGTTTACATTGGGGAAACAAGTTAAACAGCCAATATGGCTAACAGCATTTCCGCGGCAGCGAGCTAGCTTAATTAGCAAACATTGACGTTACCGTTTGAAATTGATGAAATGATGTGCCAAAGTCAAAATATCAATGGAAAGGTGCTGCAGAAGAGACTTGTCTCGACGCCTCCCTCTAGGAAGATTACACAAAGCTAAGATCTATTCACAATTTTCGAAGTTATGTAACCTTTTATATGTTAGCGACTCGCCGTGGCAGGTCGTGGCCTGGTATCAAAAAGCTCGCCTTCCTTCTTCTTCGTCTCCTTCTTCTTCTGCTGTTTTGAGTCCAGCGGCGATGTGTATTTGTTGCCTTAGCGCCACCCTCTGGAGATGCGCAGCGCTTCATCTCTCTCTTCCTCAAACAGGCAAACTACACACAGTGTTGTAAATAAGTAAGTACACTTACTTAAAGTGGACCTATCATGCTTTATTTGAAATATATAGTTTAGGGCCATACCTATATAAAACATGTCTGTGAAGTGTTTTTTTCAAAATACCAAACAGATCACCCATTGTAGCCATGCCTCATATTGCTCAAACCCCTTTTTTTGAAGCCCTGTTAGAGAAACGCAGATTATGGGTCCTTAGCTTGAAAAAATAAAATAAGAGGAGGCGGAGCAAATGCCTGATCAGAATTCTACCGGAGATAAAGTTAAATTGTGCTGTGATAAAACGCCATCCTGTTTAAACCACATCAAGGATTATTTCTGAAATAGTATAGAGCTCAAATGCTTTTTCTCTTTCAGGTTTATCACAAGGTGAGTTCTTTTTTATTTCCTGCTTTTTAAACACATGTGCAGGATAGGTTAGCTCTGAGTGTTAGCGAGGCTTGCTAATGTAAACAAAGACGTCCAAAACACGTCAGGCATTGTTTCTGATAGCAACTTTCTGTGGGTCCGCAGCCGCTATTATGTCACAGCCATAGAGGTCACAGCGGATGGAATCTGTATCCGCTCGTTGTACACCCGTTTTTAAAAGATTTGGGTACAGAGGAAAAGAGAGAGGGTTTTATTTTCTGACGCTGCGTGAGTTCCCCAATACACCGGGGACACATATTTATGTATAAAAGACATCACAAAGTGTATTTTGCATGATAGGTCCCCTTTAAAGGTGGGGTATGTAACCTATTTCAGAAACACTTTTTGTTGTATTCCATGGAATGCTCTTAACATCCCGATAGCAATGAATATGAAATGCTTTGACAATAAATACATTAAAAAATGTCATCTCTGGAAGCCGTAGCGCTGTAAAAAGCACGACCAATCATTTTAGCCGACCCGGCTAAAATAACTGGATGGCCTACCTGCCTGTCAGCCTTCCATCTGTGCACAAACTTATCTCGTGCCCTCATTGGTCATGTGCGCGTTCGTGTGTGTTGGAGGAGGGGCTCTGTAAGGAAGCGGCAGATTTTTTCCGGCTGTGTATCTTCAAATTCTAGCTCACTCGAGCTGGTTTCTCCAAAATTACCTACCCCACCTTTAAGAACTGTACTAAGTATAATTATGAAGTAGGGGAGACCAGGGACAGTTGCAACACTTTTTGGTCTTTTCCCCAATAAGTAAAAAACCATTTACAATAGGATAGCCATTTTGCTATATTATACATTATCAATATGTCAACTACTGAAACAATGTATTTAAGATGTTTTTATGAAATAAGTACAGGTTGGAAAATGTTTTTGTTTTTTTTAAACTCAACTGTTACAAACAACTGTCCTTGTGTACAGGGACAGTTGTAGCACATGCCAGGCACGGTTGTAACATGTTAATAACAGTTACCTTTTTTCACACTACATGACAACAAATAGGGAAAGCTGTCAAATTCTAAGGCAACAAGATTTGAATGGGGTTTCACACATCCTCCAACAAACAATGAACAATGAACAGGATAACAGATAACACACACGCATCATCCTCTGTGAAGGATTAAACTGTTCTATGAGAGGTGCTTCTACCTTAATTATGTGGACCTACCTCCTTTGAGCTGAGACCATAATATAAATCAGCTGCCTCCATCAGATAGTCTCTCAAAAGCATCTCCTGCTCTGTTGAGAACACCTTCTTTGGTGTCCAGTAGCCTACTCTTGGGGGTGTTTGTGATCCCTGACTCTCCAACCTCAGCCTCTTTTTATGGAACCGGTACAGGGTGACATGGCATATATCCAGGGACTTTGCCACTTCCCTGAATGATTTGCCCTTCACAACTTCATTTGAGGCCCTTGCAGCAGAGCAAGTGGCACTCCCCTGTCTATCTTCCTCTTTCTGACATTTGGCATACTGTAAACACACACCACACACACACACACACACACACACACACACACACACACACACACACACACACACACACACACACACACACACACACACACACACACACACACACACACACACACACACACACACACACACACACACACACTTTAGGCCTACTGTACAGTATTGTATTCTGTTTATTTTTACAGGGACAATGCACACCAATCAACAATGCAACTGTATGCTTGAATGAACAATTGATCATTCAAGTAAGTGAGCCATCATTGTAAATGTGCCATGTTACAACCGTCCCGTTACAACCGTCCCAGGACCACCAGTCTTGCTTTCACCCCCTGTGAACCTGCCTGATTGCTAGCTTGACCCATATTTAGCTAGTTATATTTGTAGCTTACAAAACAGTGATTATAATAATAGTAGTTTGGATTCCTTGACATTTGAACTCAAGACAGTATCCAAAAAATACATTATATAATTTTAGTAAATAATTTACCTCAGAAACACACTTTTGCTGATATCTTACACGAGAAATTCAAACGTGGCTCCTTTTTTCTCAGCGATCTTACCATCTAATTGCGCATGTGCAGAGTGAGTTTCATCACTCTAGCTTGTTTGTGATTGGAGATATTGAAGGTGTTACAACCGACCCGTGTTGCAACTGTCCCTGGTCTCCCCTACTTGTACTTTATTTAAGTATTTACATGTTGTGATACTTTGTACTTCTACCCCACTACAATTTAGAGGTACTCGTGTACTTTTACGCAACTACATTGATTTGATCTACCTTTAGTTACTTTGCAGATTTTGATTAATGATGTGAAATAATAACAACCATTGAAAAAGGTCTTAAGTTACACTTGGAGTAACATTCCCCAGCTAGCCTTCAGCATTCGAAGTAACTAAAATTAGCTGCATAATTACAAGCTTTGATAAAACTTACTCAATCATCAGTATCAAAACATAACATTTATATAATCTTAAAATTAGCCAATCTGCATAAGGATTACTTTTTTTGGCACTAAGTATTTTAATGCGAATACTTTTGTACTTTACCTTGATTAACATTTTGATTGCAGGACTTTGACCTATTTGAGTAATTACATTTCCTGCTTACTTTAAACTTCTACTCAACTACATCTTAGAGTTTTTTTTTTACTTTACTGCCTTTATTTGATCTATTTATTTATGTTGAAGATTCCAAATAATAATACAAAATATAATCTATGAATACATATAGCCCCAAAGCTATACATGACAGGAAATATAGAAAATATAAGCTCCTCTTACAAGCTGCAACATACGTGGTACACATTGGTGCCTCATTAATTATAATGCAATAGCACAACATAAGATAAGATAGTACTTTCTTGATCCCAATTTCGGAAATGTTTGTTCATATATATTATTCTGAAATGGGCCGTTGTGTATAAAGCCTACTTTTGCTTTGGTACATTATTAATACTGCTAATACTTTTATACTTTAATTTAAGTAACAATTTAAATGCAGAACTTTGACTTGTAATAAAGGATTTTTACACTGATTAGATCTGAATAGAGTTTACCTGCATTAAGCCTACACAAATGAATTCAAGCAGGGGGGTGATTTAAGGCTGGAATATGTGAAACATTTGTATATCCTGTGTGTGACTGAACTACAAAGATAACCTCTCCATATTATCAATTTTAAGATGTGACATTTTTCCTTCTCTTGTAACTCCTGTGAGACAGAATTGAGGGCATGAACAGCTCAGTAATGGCGCCTTTTTGAACCACGTCACATTCATTTAATTCACTGCTATGTGTCGCCATCTTGTGATGAGGAAAAACAAATGTCAATGCTCTTCCATCTTGCATGTCCTAAGTTTTTCTAAAATAAAAAGTCATATTGTATGTCAAAAAAAATAAAATGTAATATTTCGAAAAATATATAAAAAAGGCACAGTCAATTATTTATACTCTTTCAAGGTTCCAATTGACCTGAAAAATATGGGATTAGTTTTGTGTCATAAAGATAAAGGAACACTTTCTCAGAACCAATTTTGTAATTGTGTGTTCTATTTGCTGTGGTAACTATTTTGTAGATAATGAAGCCACAAGAAAGGGAGATCTTTTTTTTAGATTCCCTAAATGGCACTGGCTTCCGTGATGAAAGCCAAATGGAAACATTGAGATTTTTAAGCACAGAAATTATGTTCAGTTATAAGGTTCTGTTCTTATATTTGTATTATTTTTGTCTATGGCTCTGTGTTCAGTTTTACATTTAAAAGATGACCTCAAGCATAAATTGACATGTTATTGAACAAAAGATTGGACTGAAACTGAGCATAAGACATTTAAAATGGGAATGTTCTGTTACCACCCATTTATAAGCTTTATTTTCTGTTTGTTTCCTTAAAATCAAGCTCTTGGCCAACCTGTTCGGCATTCCACTGTTGGTGGTTCTGCAGTGTTCAAAAGTTGGTGGTTCTACCAGTTTGACAATATTCAACCAGTTATATGTTCCAGTTTTCAATTTTCTTGAATGTCCTTGTCTAAACAGCTGTGTGTTATCCCCCATTAGACAAGTTGCTCTGCTTGTGTCACCTGGACCCTGGAGAGAATTCTGTGCAAACGACATTCAAGTTAGTAATTATGATGCACACTAATTGAGTTTTATTCCTGGATTCCTACACTGTGTGTGTGTGTGTATATGTGTATATAATGTATATAATCTCACCTTCTTCATGAAATAGGGCATACCAAGACAACGGGCCTCCAACAACTGTGGGGTGTTTGTGCTCATGGTATGGCTCATCTGATGAATTTATCAATCTTTTCTTTACAGTTTTGCAATTAGTGTGTAATGTTTTTTTTACTCTTGAACAGTATGCCCTCTACTTTGTGATGGAGTCAGCTTTTGATTTCAGTGAGGTAGGCCACAGAGATACACTTTTGATCAGTCCTTGTGGTGTTCCCTTTTCATTTTAATATGCATCTTTTTTTGCACAGTTGGACATGGAGCATTT